AAAGATGAATAGATGGGACACAGGATTTTTAGGGCAGTGAAACAATTCCGTATGGTTCTATAGTGGTGAATAGATGTCATTATGCATTTGTCAAGACCCACAGAATATTTAGTAAGATTGAACTCCAAGATTTAGCCACATCGTTGTTTATAGCAGCACAATCCACAATAGCCAAACTATGAAACTAATCTAGGTGCTCTTCAACAGATGAATGGACATGTATAAAGAAGAATGCCATAAAGAAGAATAAAATTATGGCATTTGCAGGTAAATGGATGAACTGGAGAACATCATGCTAAGGGAAATAAGCCAGACCCAGAAAGCCAAGGGTTGACTATCTTCTCTGATATATGGAAGCTAGAACAAAATAGGATAAATAAAGAGAAATAATGGGGGGATTCTATGAAAATAAAAGAGGGATCAGTGGAGTAGAGGAAAGGGATGGAAGGGCGGTGTGAGGAAGGGCTGGAACAGAGTGCAGTGGTAGAATTAATGTGACTGAACTTTCCTATATAAGAATATACCCCAGTGAATTCCATTCTTATGTATATGAGTAATGCATTAATTTAAAATGTAAATAAAAAGAAGAAAGATCAGTAGAGAAAAGGGAACAGGGGGAGGGAGAAGGGGAGGGAAAAGGGAAGTATTGGAGATGGAATTATATCAAAATGAACCCCAGTATTATGAATAGCTAAAACAAACTAATGAGAAAAAACAACAAAAAAGATTAAACCCTAATATAAAGTATAAATTTTGGGTTATAGTGATATGTAAATATAGATTCATCAATAGGAACAATTGTACCATTCTTGTGTGGGGCATTGATAAGAGGAAGGCTGTGCATATGTGGGGACAGAATATATAGGGAAACTCTGTACTTTCTGCTCAGTTTTTTGGTGAACTTAAAACTACTAAAATGAAGTCAATTTAAAAAACAGTATTGGACACATTATATTGTTATACTGCATGCATGAATATGCAACCACTAATCCCATTAATATGTACAACTATAATGCACCAAAAAAAAGTGTGAAAAACAACAGAAAAAAACCCAAAATAATCAAACAAACAAACAAACAAACAAAAAACAGTGATGGAGAAGCTACAGCTTCATACCTCACCCTTGAATTTACGGGTTCAGTGCAAGGGGCCAGACTCTGTTTTCTCCTTTATTCAGGGTTGGGTTGTTCCCTTGGTTCTCACTCACTTTCCTTGATTTGACTCAGCAGGGTCTGGGTCTCCCCTCTTTCTTTTCTTTTTGGTACTGGAGATTGAACCAGGAGTACTTAACAACTAAGCCACATCCCCAGCCCCTTTTGTGTTTTTAACTTTGAGACAGGGTCTCACTGAGTTGCTGAGGGCTTCACTAAATTGCTTAAGCTGCCTTTGAACTTTCTATCCTCCTGCCTCTGCCTCCCAAGCTGCTGGGATTAAAGGCATGCACCACCATGCCTAGCTCCCCTTTATGGACTAGTGGTCCTTTCTTCCTAAGAGGTTTCTCCTTCTCTAAGACCTAGTAAGAGGAACTAACCAAGGTCTCTTAGGAGTAATGGTTGTGGGACAGATTGATGTCTTCTAATGGATTGTCACACTGAGTAATCTAACTCGGGATCCTAAATAGGACTCATAGGAGAGCACAAGTTTCCTCTTTCTGTTGAGCTGAGACGACTTCTTTGGGTCAAGATCCTCATTTTTCTGATACTCCTGAGAAAAAAAATGAGGGTAACTGACACTTATGCCTGAGTCTCTCACATCTGAAAATAGGCAGGACTCTGTGGGATCCCCACTGATAAATATTGGTAGATCCAATATTTTTCAGGTTATTCACCTCATTCCTGGCACATCTTTCAATGGGCTTGAGTCAGCCCATCTCAGACCAAGATCTTCATCTTCCTAAGAACTCCAAAGTGGAAATGAGATTCAGTCACATCCCGCCACAGCTGTTTGGGAGCTCTGTAGGCTGAGAGTAGGGTCAGGAATTTATAGGCCATATCGCTCTGGGTAGGTGTTTCCCTCTTTCTTCATTTAGAGACCTCAACTTGATATGTGTCAGGGATTAAGACTGTCCCCTCTACTGACCTGAGGTGATCCTCCTTAGGGTAAGATTTATAAGTTATTAAGAACCTTGAAGAATAGGGGAGGAGATCCTCAGGCTGACAACTCTGTCTGGCACGTTGTTACCCCTAGTCCTCCTACATGGGGATATTTGTGTGTATTTTAGCTTCTGTTCTTTGACTAAAGACTTTCTTGAAAATGGCACATTAATAAAGTTCTTTCAGTGTCTCTATGACAAGTCTTGTAGGGAATGGGTCCTTTTCCCAGAATAATATAAAATGGGGAAGCTGTAACACATCGATGTTTATAGCAGCACAATTCATAATAGCTAAACTGTGGAACCAACCTAGATGCCCCTCAGTGGATGAATGGATAAAATATGTGGCCTATGTACCCAATGAAATATTACTCAGCAATAAAAGAATAAAATCATGGCATTTGCAGGTAAATGGATGCAGTTAGAGAAGATAATGCTATGTGAAGTTAGCCAATCCCAAATACCTAAATGCCAAATGTTTTCTTTGATATAAGGAGGCTGATTCATAGTGGGATAGAGAGAGGGAGCATGGGAGGAATAGAGAAACTCTAGATAGGGCAGAGGGGTTGGAGGGGAAGGGAGAGGGCATGGGGATAGAAATGATGGTGGAATGTGATGGTCATTATTATCCAAAGTACATGTATGAAGACACGAGTTGGTGTGAATATACTTTGTATACAACCAGAGATATGAAAAATTGTGCTTTATATGTGTAATAAGAATTATAATGCATTCCACTGTCGTATATAAGTAAAACAACAACAACAACAACAAAAAGTAGGAGTCCCAGGACAGATGTTTTCTCAGAGAAAAAAACACATGGATCTATTTCTTTTCTTAATAGCCAAATTTAGCCTCTTAACAATTTCTGTTAAAAAAGATTTAACTTTCTAAAAGGAAGTGACTGTCCAGAATGATAGAATGTGAACCCATTATCTTTTGAGGTTAACTGACTTTGCATATGTAGATAATCACATTGTCAACAAATATTATCTCTTTTTTTCTATAAATCATGCCTCTTCATCATTTTAGTATTTTTATTGCTCTGGTTATGTATTCCAATACAGTAGATTGGGCATAGATTCTGTAGGAATCTTGTGGGAATGATTGAATGTATATAATGTGTAAGAAATGCCCAGAATATTTAAAAAGTGCCAGTTCTTTTTATGATTAATTTTTCTCTTCATGTTACAATATACTACACTGGGGTTTATTATTTTGATAATATGAGTATGCCACATTCTAGGACAAAAAACCCTGTTAGATAACATGCTACTTAGCAAGGAAAACTAAATAATACTTCCCCCTTACATGATAAATCATTCACTGTCAGTGTGAGGTAGACTTCCTCAGTTGATGCAACATAAAGCTTCTAAAAGTTATTTCAGGGACTAAACCTTCCCTCCCTCCCAGCTGCCATTTCATCTAAAACACGCCTATTTTATTTTAAAACCACCTGAAATAGATCTTGCCTAGAGTTTGCCAAGTAACACACAAGGTAACCTAATTGCATGTACTTTTTAATGGAGCAGATTCTTTATACTCCAGCCTAGAGCAAAGAATGCCAGCACATTGACCTCTAGACATCTCACCTCCCTGGAGAGTATCACCCTTATGTCCTAGAAGCTCACTTGAGATGATGTGCATAGAACACTTTGTGCATTGTGTTTGACTATGCTGGGACAGAAGCATGGGAAACTTTCTATCCCTGTCCTAGGTGGAGATTCTCTCTGGTTTACCTATGATACCAAGGGAACTTCTAAAATCAATTCTCCATTTGAGGTTTAGTCTCTCAATTCTGAGATGTACCACCTTCAAACCTGGCCTGTGTTCCCCACTCCCAGAGCCTCAGCCAGCCCACCATGGAGCCCCACTTAAATTACCTCCCACTGAAGGACTTAAGACTGCATTATGAGATAATACACACTTGACTGCACTCATTTGGAACTCAATCCCTCCCTTCTTATCCCTTGTTTTCATTTATCCTTTTAGTCTCAGATGTGTTATCATCAATTTTCTTACCTGACAGCTGCTTTTGGACCTTATATTGCTTTTTTTTTTTTTTTTTTTGTGGTACTGGGGATTGAACCCAGGGCTTTGTGCATGCAAGACAATGGACCTTATATTGTAAAGTCAGTTACTTGGTCTTCTACCATTGAGATTGGGGGTGGGTATTGGGTATTAGACTCAGGGACACTCAACCACTAAGCCACATCTCTTGCCATATTTTTTATTTTATTTAGAGACAGGGTCTCACTGAGTTGTTAGTGCCTCACTGTTGCTGAGGCTGGCTTTGAACTCATGATCCTCCTGCCTCAGCCTCCGGAGCTGCTGGGATTACAGGCATGTGCCACCACGCCTGGCCTCAGTTATTAGGTTTTCCTTTGTCTTAGTCCTATCAGTAACAATAGCACTGAGCTTTGTAAGAGGAAATGCTCAATTGATATTCAGGAAATAATTGAGTCTGTGAACATGAGGGTCTAGTTTATTATGATTTAAGTCAATATTCTTGGATAAGTCAGGTGTACACAGTTATTTATCTTTTAACTTTATAAAATACAGATGTTCAGGAAGCCAAATATTAACCATTTAACTCTTTATTTTCCCATTCCATATATTTTACTGCTGAATTTCTTCACATTGTAAAAGAAATGTTTATTACAATTCCATATTTTCTTGAACCAGATCACTAAATAAGATCACTAGTTTGTTTTACAAAGTAATGAAACTCTTACTCTTAAGACTGATAAAAAGTGTGATCAATATAATTCATAAATTTATATTATAACATTAAATAAAAAGAACATTTGAAAACAATAATACAAGTAAAATCTCCAAATTACCCATATAGAACAGGAACACTAAGATATTATACCCTGTGTTCCCTCCAGTCATATCTAGCCCTCTATTACTTGAGACAATGATTTCCTTCTTTAGTTACTGAAGAATATGTCTCAACTTTACAGGTGTGGGAGGAATTGTGGGACATGGCCCTGGAACAATCACTGGCTGTGGTGGTGCTATCACTGAGTGTAACTATGGCTTGAGCTCTCTCTTCCTCATCTCTCAAAGCTTCATTATACCAGGACTGGAAGGCACTGGGCTCTGTATGATTGATCTTGGCCCAAAACTCTAGGACTTTCATCTTACTTGTTTCAGCATGGGCTCTTGGGCCTCATAGAAATTCATAGCGAGCAGGATCACTATCAGGTACCTGCTGGTACTCCAGGTATTGAAGCTTCACTAAATCTTGGGTGATGAGTTTCTTGGGCTCCCCAAAAATGAAGTGTCTCTTCCCAGCATATAATCTCATCTTATTCAGAAATTCCCAGATATTCTCCTCAGTGGCACAGTTTCCCTTCATGAAGATCACACCCAGGAGATTCATTAGAAGACCAGTCTTGGGAAATCCCCTTCCATGGCTCACTATCCCATTGTTGGGGAGATTCATTTTGCTGACAAGAACATAAGCATTCTTCGTAGAATCAACTTTCTTTAAGTCAACACCAAATACCACCTCTATGCTGAAAGAAGCTCTTCTGAGGATCTCAAGGAAGTGATTCTTATGCTTTTTATTAATAATCTTCAGCATATCCACTTTCAAAATGGGCCTTTTCATTTTGTACATGTGCATCATGAACTGCACCAAAATGCTGGTTGTTTTGGTTAGAGAGTCTTTGTGAGGCTGCATGCTAGAAGGTGGGGACTGGGAAGACTGTTGCTTTTTCTTAATTTTGCAGTTGGCTCCTTCAGGTGATCTTGAGGGAGAAATGCTTACAGGTATAGTGCTGGAAGAGGGCTCCTCAGGCACCTTGGGAGCACTTTGTGACCTAGAAGCAGAATTTTTGCGGGTGATAACTCCTAAATGAGAAGATGAAGGAGGAGCTATTTTCTCCTTGGTTTCACTGGCCTGAGCATTCATCCGGAGATCCTGGATCTCACCTTGGACCTGGTGGTGTTCCTCCCGAGTACAGCGCTTACTCTTCTGACTTTGAGGCATGATAATACCATGTAGAAACAACAGATACAAGTATAGGCAGGGCGGCAGTGATGAGAGACCTGGAAGAGAGGGAGAATGAGAAACCATAAGTAACTCCAGCAGGGAGATGCCTCCTTGGCAAGAAGAAGGCAGGTTTCCTTGAAAGCACTGATTTAGGAACCCACAAAAGCTCCTGTTCAAAACAGCCTGTCCTCTGTGAATCCTATAGAAATAACTAAAGTGTGTCTTAAATTGCAGTCCTCTAGCCCTGCTGGATGAATATTGTGAGTGAAAGTGGCAGTGGCAGGTCTAATTCTTGTGGATGCCCTTCTATTCTGGGGTAGGGAATCCTCTCAGTTCACATTCAGGATCATCATATTAACTATTAACAGTGCCTGCCCCCACTTTCATGTGCAGCACTAATTTTTGTAACTTCCAACCAATGTTTTCCTTTCCCTAGGACCCACTAAGAGGAAGTGAAAGGGTACCTTAGCCCACCACTTTTGCCAGGGGGTGCTCAGTTCTAAGAGCTCCATGGAGGCCTACTCTGATATGGGCTCATTGAGTTCCTTGGTCCTTATTCATGGTATTCACTGTGGCTCTTGGAGGAACTGGGACATCTAATCCCTGCTGATCTGATGCTCCTCCCCTCAGACAAGTGCCCTCATCAAGATACTACTATGAAAAAGAAAGGAAAACTCACATACACCTGACATCCTTGCCTGGGATCCTTGAGACTACAAGTGTAGGGGTTCATTTATGGGCCCTCTCCATTGTCTCCTGTTTTGGGGAGAGGAGTGATAACACCAGTCCTCAATTAGACCTCTCACTCTGACTCCTATAAGGCTCTGGATCTCCTTTCTTGGCACAATTGGAGCATAAAACTACTTTAACCTTCTTGAGACTCTCAAGGTGAAAAGGGGATGACATACCCTGATAAATTTTCTGGGAATTCCACAGATAAGAGAAGGGGAAGAATGTATGAGAACCTAATTTTTAGAGTTGCTGTTTCCCTTGGTCCTCACTCTAGTCTCTGACCTTGACTTACTGTATGAGTTGGGACACCTCCTTTCAGTAATCAATACCCTCCAGCCTCAGAATAGCACCCAAGACAGAAAAGTCAGGGTTCCGCATGTGTGAATGTCCGTGCCTGGAGCCCCATAGAAACTAGCGCAGTAAAATTGCTTTGTGTTGCCACCTGGTTTGGGGAGATATTCCATCATTAGACTCAGGGCCTTCTACTTTATTGCAGTTAGGGCCCACGTCTCTTCCACATGTTAATCTAGGCTACTTCTTAGATCCAGGCCATCTACTCCCTGACACTTTTCAGAAAGAAAAGCGAGCTTTAATCAGGCTTCCCAGGGGACACCACATAGAGCTAGGAGTTAGTGGAGTCCCCATTGGCATGAGGGGAATGACATCCTCAGTCCACATTCTGGGACCTCACCTTCACGCCGGACTAGTTGGGGGAATTCACGCTTCACCTACTGGACACTGCACTTCTCAGAATGAGGCCCTCATCTTCGCAACAGAAGTGAGAATGAGCCACTTCCTGCCAACGGCTCCCTGGGATTTCCAAGGGCTAACAGCAGGGGCAGTTGCTAAGGAACCACATTGTTCTGTAATCTATGGTCCTTAGCTCCTCACACTGCTCGCCAGCATATCCTGGGATTTCCCCCTCTGGCTTGAGACACACAGCCTCCAAACAAATTTTCACCTCCCTCAGGCTCTACAGCGGAAATCTGGGTAGGCCCCACATGGCTCCTCTTACCTGGGTTTCACAGCCATGACAACAGGAGCGGAGTTCTGCGAGCATCCCCATTTTGGGGATAGGTCCTCTCATCAGCACTCACCTAGACTGCATTTGCCCAACACTTCTTCCCCTCAAGGCCCATTAACCCATTAGCTCCTGGTACTCTGCTTTCTGAGACCTTCTAGGTAGAAAGGGGCACAGCAACGTGGCTATTTTGAATGATGCCTTAAAACTAGAAATGGCTTATGGATTCTGGGATTCCTCCCTCTGCTGACCCTAGTCCTCCAAATATAGCCCTCATCCTCCTAAGTCCATCGAGTGGAAGTCAAGATATGCTACACAGTCCTGGAAAGACTGTTGGGGTTGTTGGTGGCCGGCACATTTCAAGGGTGGTTCTCTGATTAACACTGGTGGTCTTCACCCTGACTCCAGTTAGGGCCAAGATTCCTCACTTTGAAGAACTGAGCTCAGGCATTCCCTTCCCTGAGGCACTCCAGGAGGACATCAGGGTGTAGCTCAACCCTCAGCATTCTGCTTGGAGTATTCGACGGTTAGGTACAAGGACTGGGCATTTGTGGGGTTACTGTTCTTTCCTTTCTCCTCAAGAACCTCACCTTGCTCCTGACCAGTGCTGGGACTCCACCCCGCCTGACATAAACTCTGTTCAGATTAAGTTCCCTTCCTTCTGACATCTCCCAGTGGAAGTTAGGGTTGGGTACATTAGGTTAGTGATGTTAGGATCCTGGGAGGGTTGACAGCACAGTGAGAGTTTGATGAGACACCACCATTCTTGTCCCCCAAATATTTCCCATTCAGAGTCCCTATCTTGATAGCTATCAAACACAAGGGTCTTTCCTTTACTAAACTCAGGTCCCTCTTCTTAGGCAAGTGCTCTCACGTGGCTGAGCACTATGACGAGTGAAAGGAAGGACGCCTAGTGTGACTGTTCTTCCTGGGGCATTATAGGTCAGGTTTGGGCAGATCTCTGAATGAAGTCCTGCATTTTGGGGATGGTGGTCTCCTCAGTATTCATTCAGTTTTCTCATGAATCTTAGATTGAAAGCTTCTTGGAAAGTGTCTCATCCCTGCAAACTCTAGAACAGTGTTCCTACTGCAAATCACAGGTCTATGTTTCAAGCCTGATGTGAGATGGAGATCCTTCCAGGCAAGACAGGGGACCCAGAGGAGGAGGGGATGGGATGTCAGAGAACAATGATGCTGATGTATCCTTCTTTTCAGTAGTCAGTGTGTGTTTCTTATAGTACTTCTGTTTTAATTGATTTTCTTTCTTAATGGAAAGGAGCTGCCCAGGATGGTTGTGAGATCCCTGAATTTGAGATTATTTAACTTTGCATTTGTGGATGGCCACTGTGTATTATCTATTTCTCTTTTTTTATTCATAACCTTCATTTATTGTAATATTTTAACTGGTCTGGCCTTGTATGCTAACCCAATTCTTTGGGCACAGAATCCTCTCAATTAACTTAGGCAGGCCTAAGAATAAGTGAGGAAATGCTCACTCTTATTAATATTGTTAAAAATATTGCACAGTGCCCTGGACATTCCCTCTGAGAATAGATACACTTGGGAGTATTGGGAAGAAAACAAATTAAAGGACACAAGGTCTGCCACAGGCAGAGAGGAGTAGGATGAACAGTGGGAGCTACAGAATAATCTGGACTGGGAGCCTAGTCCCAGTTCTGTTGCTTTCTGGCCCTGTGAACTTGAGCAAATTACCAGACTCCAAGACAAAGAAATTGTAATCAAACCAAATACCGCTTAGCAATGAAAATTTTGTACAGTGTATCACCATTAGTGAATATTACATATAATGTGTTTTTGGAAGAGTCCTCTCTGTGTGGGTACATTTCAAAGCAATTAGAATTTTGTCAATGATCAATGTCTTTCCTAACATACTCTTTTCTATAAAACACTCTGATTTTCATTTATTTATCCACCACTCCAAATCTAGAACCCCATTAGAATTTGCCAGTATACATATGTGGTAACCTAATAGAATGACATTTCAATTTCCAGTAGGCTCTGGATTCCCTATCCTAGAGCAGTATACCAGCATAGTGGATTCTGTGCCTCTCACCAATTTAGAATGTATCTCCTTTATTTTTCAGTAGGTCCCTTGTAATAATGTGCATAGAATACTTGGTTTGTACACTATACTTGAATGTGCTAGGAGAGGAGCAAAGACAGTTTCCAGCTTCGCCCTAAATGGAATTTCCATCTGGCTTATGTACAACCCCAAAGTTTAGAGCAATTATCCATTGCATGTTCAGGCTTCTATCTCTGAAACACAACATCTAAAGGGCTGGCTCCTGTTCACCACTCATGTACCATTAGCCAGCATAACATGCAGCCTCACTTAAATTACCTCTCACTGAAGAAGTTGTAGTTTCTCAAAAGTTCCAACCTCCCTTGCCTCAGAGCATTTACACTGAATGCTCTCATGTGGAATGTTGTTTCTTCTTTTCTCCTCCATTTTTTTGAGTTGTCCTTTAAATATGAGAGAGAATTTCACCATCTTTTAATATAATAGTGGCTGTTAACCACTAAAGTTGTATGAAATTGGTCATTTTTTACCCTTACCATCTCCAATGCTAACATGGAGATTTATGTTTGGGGAATGTTTGGAGAATATATAAGCCAGTGAATGAGAGGTCTAAAATATTGCAATTTAGTTTATCCTAATTTCTTAATTAGCTAAACAAATCCAGGTCTATATCTTTCAGTTTATAGAAAGAAATGATAAAAGAAGCAAGGTAAATCAAGAACTGAGCCCCCCATAGCTTTTCCATATTTTTTTCTCTCTCATGATCTCAACTGTTTGTGGCATTCCTTCCTTCAAATTTCTAAGAAAATACTTATCCCAATGCGATGGTAACTTGTGTGGGTCACAGGGGAAACAGTCAAATATTTTCAGTTTGTCTTGCTAAATTCCAAAACTCTTATTCTTAACTCTGATTAATAGCAATAAATATGTGGCCAATGTCATCCAAAAATTTAAATCCTGAAGCTAAATAAATCTTTCATCAAAGGAAACAACATGTGCTGGACACAGTGAGCCTGCCTGTAATCCTAGCAATTTCGGAGGCTGAGACAGGAGGATCCTGAGTTTGAGGCCAGCCTCAGCAACTTAGCAAGACCCTCAATAACCTGTTGTGAAACTTCCTCCAACCAAAAATAAAATTGAAAGACTGGGAATGTAGCTCAGTAGTAAAACACCTCTAAGCATTCAATCCCCAGTACCTAAAAC